AAGCCCAGGTTTGAAGGCTTTCAAGTTGGGGTATGGGAAAACTCGGGAGGGGAGGGAGGAATGCTTTCATACTCACAGAGAAAAACACATGTGGTTCAATAAACGTTGCTCAAGGTCTAAACCAAATCTAAATACAGACAATATGAAACTTGCAATAAAAGAGCAGGACATCCACACACACAAGCACACACCCATGGGAGGCTCAGCTAAGGCATTTACTTAGCTGGAAGTATCAGGACATTTTTCAACAGCATATATAAGACAAGCATAAAAATTAAACTCTATTTCATTGTCACTTTTCATCTTTATTTTTCTTTCTCCCCAAGACAGAGTCTTGCTCTGTCACCCAGGCTGGCATGCAGTGGTGTGACCTCACAGCAACCTTCGCCTCCCGGATTCAAGCAATTCTCCTGCTTCAGCCTACTGCATAGCTGGATTACAGGTGCCCGCCACCACACCTGGCTAATTTTTGTATTCTTAGTAAAGATGAGGTTTCACCATGTTGGTCAGGCTGGTCTCAAACTCTTGACCTTGTGATCCTCCCACCTCACCCTCCCAAAGTGCTGTGATTACAGATATGAGCCACCAAGCCTGGCCCCATTTCATCTTTAACTCAACTAACGCCAAAAATTTAAGAGATGACCTTAATGGTATCCAGTCATCTAAAGAGCTGACCAAGATCAATTCTATGTATAGACACAAGAACTGAATAAAAGCAAAACAAACTTCCCATGGGGGAGGGGAAAAAAAAAAAAAGCATAGTAGCTCATCCCTGTAATCCCAGCACTTTGGGAGGCCAAGGCAGGAGGGTCACTGGAGTCCAGGAGTTCAAGGCCAGCCTGGGCAAGATAATAAGGCATTGTCTTTACAAAAAAAAAAAAAAAAAAAAAAAAAATTACTAGCTACTTGGGAGGCTGAGGCAGGAGTATTGCTTGAGCCTAAGAGGTCGAAGCTGCAGCGAGCCATGATCATGCCACTGCAAACCAGCCTGGGCAACAGAGCGAGACTCTGTCTCTAACAAAAAAGCGAATATAAAACTAAAAGTGAATACTATAGCACATAGCAAGTGGGAGCAGCCTAGGAAAAGCTGCGTTTCTGCCATACGGCACTTCACTCCATTTCATTTCCCTTTTGACAAGAATCACCAGGAATCCTAGTGGCGACAAGATGCCATGGCTTCCTCAGGAAAATTCTCAATGTCATTAACAGAGGCTGCCAGCAGAGTTGTACAGATCCATTACGAGCAAACAGAGTGAGGGCCTGGAGGATGTGGGGCTTGGGAATATAGGACCCAGTTGTCACCTTCAATGTAAGTCTTGGTATGACAGGTTGGACAAGGTGGGCAGTCTTGTAAGATGCTCCCCACCAATCCCCTCCCCTGACGGGAGGCTGCGACTAGTGGACTGGCACCTGGCAGACAGAGTGCAGAGTGATGAAGCTGTGAGAGGCTGCGGCTTCTGTCTTGCTCTCGCTCTCTCCGGCTGTCCTTGCTTGTGTCCTTTGATGGAGACGGCTGCCATTCTGTGGGCTGCCCTGAGGACTACTCCGCATGACGAAGGGCAGAAAGCGGTCTTTAGCCAACAGCCATAAGAAGCCAAGATCCTTAGCCCAACAGCCTGTGAGGAACCAACTCCTGCAACAACTACATGAGTGAGCAAAGCAGCAGGCGCTCCCCCAGCGACGCCTGGAACACACCTGACTGCAACCTGGAGAGACGCTGCACCCAGGACTCAGCTCGGCCATGCCCAGATTCCCAAGCCACAGAAACTCTGATGAAATAGATGTGTGTTATTTTAAGTGGCTGTTTTGGGGTAATTTATTATGACACATTAGAAAACTAATACACCTTAGCAAATAATGTGCTTAGAGATAATAAATCATTTCTGCTAAGTCTGAAAGGGTATTTGTAAATCATTTATATAGGATCAACTAAGCCAATGGAGGTTATCTCAACTTCAAAAAGGAAAACCAGAACTTCAAAACCTAGAACAGACAGGGGCAGTGGCTCACGCCTGTAATCCCCGTACTTTGGGAGGCTGAAGCGGGTAGACAACTTGAGGTCAGTTGTTCAGGACCAGCCTGGCCAACACGGTGAAACCCTGTTTCTTTATCTTTCTTTTTCTGTCCATATATCCTCTGAAATGGTGAAACTCTGTTTCTACTAAAAATACAAAAATTAGCCTAGTGTGGTGGCCAGCACCTGTAGTCCCAGCTACCCTGGAGGCTGAGGCAGGAGAATCACTTGAACCTGGGAGGCGGAGGTTGCAGTGAGCTGAGGTTGTACCACTGCAGTCCAGCCTGGGCAACAGAGTAAGACTCTGTCACACACACACAAAAAAAACTCTAGAAGAGGAGAGTTTAGTGCTCCACACCAGCAAAATTTCTCTAAGGATTCTAGCCAGTTATAAATACAGGTTCTCTGACTGCCTGCAATTGCTATCAGATATCTGAGAATCTCCCTCTATTGCAGGCGTCCCCAATTTATCCAGCCCCCCGCCGCACTTCAGGAAGGGGCACCTCTTTCACTGGTGGTCAGTGAGAGGAGCACAGTATGTGGCGGCCCTCCAATGGTCTGAGGGACAGTGAACTGGCCCCTGTGTAAAAAGTTTGGGGATGCCTGCTCTATTGTATTCTTCAGATTTGCAGGTCAATTATAAGGCCTCAGATCTCACTACAGGCTTGTTTGGGGGTTTAATCTACAGGAAATTTTAAAACAAATAATGTAAAACAAAGTATTATTTGTATTCTTGGCTGAATTTACTTTGCCAAAAAAGATCCACTGTACAGTTTAATATCGCATTTAAAAGTGAGCTCTCAGCCGGGCGCCATGACTCACATCTGTAATCCCAGCACTTGATAGCGAGACCCTGTCTCTACTAAAAATTAAAAAAAAAAAAAAAAAAAAAGGGAGCTCTCTCATTTCCATGAAATGTTCAGAAAGGCAAATCTATAGAGAAGGTAAATTAGCGGTTGCCATGCCAGATGAGAAAGAATGACTGCTGACAGGCAGGGACTTGCTTTTTGGGGTGATAAAAATGTCCTGGAGTTAGATCATGGTGATGGTTATACAACTTTGTGAATGTACACTTTAAAATGGGACATTTTTATGGTTTCTGGATTTGATTCCAATTTAAAAATTTTTTTTAAGTGAACTCTGTTTTTTTTTTTTTTTTGAGATGAAGTTTCACTCTTATTACCCAGGCTGGAGTGCAATGGCGTGATCTCTGCTCACCGCAACCTCCGCCTCCTGGGTTCAGGCAATTCTCCTGCCTCAGCCTCCTGAGTAGCTGGGATGACAGGAACGCGCCACCATGCCCAGCTAATTTTTTTGTATTTTTAGTAGAGACGGGGTTTCACCATGTTGGCCTGGATGGTCTCGATCTCTCGACCTCGTGATCCACCCGCCTCAGCCTCCCAAAGTGCTGGGATTACAGGCTTGAGCCACTGCGCCCGGCCTTAAGTGAACTCTTTTTTTTTTTTTTTTTTTTTGAGACGGAGTTTCGCTCTTGTTACCCAGGCTGGAGTGCAATGGCGTGATCTCGGCTCACCGCAACCTCCGCCTCCTGGGTTCAAGCAATTCTCCTGCCTCAGCCTCCTGAGTAGCTGGGATTACAGGCATGTGCCACCATGCCCAGCTATTTTTTTTTGTATTTTTAGTAGAGACGGGGTTTCACCACGTTGACCAGGATGGTCTCGATCTCTCGACCTCGTGATCCACCCGCCTCAGCCTCCCAAAGTGCTGGGATTACAGGCTTGAGCCACCGCGCCCGGCCTTAAGTGAACTCTTATGGAGGAAAGCTAACACTCCCACTTCGACATCGCCCCAGATAGTGACGTGCCATTCCCGCACCTAGGATGATGAACGCGCAGTGCTGGAAGAAGACACATAAATGATGATGTGATGCTGGCCTGATGATGCGGCTCAGATCTCACCACAGGTTTGCCTGGGTGTTTTTGCATTGCATCTTCCAGGAAAATTGCTAGCAAAAGTCCTACCCCAGTAAATGTGTTTGTCTTTTTCAATGTTTTTGCTGTTATAGAATGTTAGATTCCTATTCTTAAGACTTAAAGGACTGGGCATGGTGGCTCACCCCTGCAATCCCAACATTTTGGGAGGCTGAGGCAGGTGGATCACCTGAGGTCAGGAGTTCCAGACCAGCCTGGCCAACATGGTGAAACATAGAAAAATTAGCCAGCTGTGGAGGCACATGCCTATAGTCCTAGCTAGTTGGAAAGCTGAGACATGAGAATTGCTTGAACCTGGGAGGCAGAGGTTGCAGTAAGCTGAGATTGCACCACTGCACTCCAGCCTGGGCGACAGAGTGAGATTCCATCTCAAAAAAATAAATAAATAAAAATAAATTTTAAAAAAAGACGACAATTTTTACCTTATTTCATAATACTTAATTGGCCACTCCTTGCTATGAGCTACAAGGTTAAGAAAACTTATCAAACAAAACATTTACAGACGAAGACGTCTTTTCAAAGTTAAGATTTCATTTCAGCATCTTGCTATTTATTTTTCATTATTTTTTAAAATTATCATTATTATTTTATATTTATTTTTTGGGATGGAGTTTCGCTCTTGTCACCCAGGTTAGAGTGCAATGGCACAATCTTGGCTCAATGCAACCTCTGCCTCACAGGTTCAAGCAATTCTCCTCCCTCAGCCTCCTGAATAGCTAGGATTACAGGTATTCACCACCACACCCAGCAAACTGTTTTAATTTTAGTAGAGATGGGGTTTCACCATGTTGGCCAGGCTGGTCTCAAACTCCTGACCTCAGGTGATCCACCTGCCTTGGCCTCCCAAAGTGCTGGGATTACAGGCATAAGCCATTGCACCTGGCCTATTATTTTCAAGACAGGGTCTCACTCTGTTGCCCAAGCTGGAGTGCAGAGGTGTGATCATAGCTCACTGCAGACTCATACTCCTGGGCTGAGGTGATCCTTCTGTCTAGCCTCCCCAGCAGCTGTGAGTATAGGCGTGCACCACCACACCCAGGTTTGCTATTTAATTAAATATCATTCTCCAACACATATGGGAGTGACATATGCTTCCCATTATTATATAGCAAAACAAACTCCATATCCAGAAAAAATATTTATATGACATATGGCCTAGTATTCTGAATCAAGGAAGGATCTTTCAACAAGAGCAGGAGGGAGAAGAAAACATTTACATTCTATAACATGATTATAGGATTGAGATAGATAAAATGAAAAACAACATCTCTGAACAGTTACAGTTGACAGAACAGCTTTCCCTTATTCCACTTATTTTAAATAACTCATGTATGTAAACTTGAACACCAACTCTGGCTGATTTAACAGTCTTAATTCCTTGATTTTCCATACTGAACATCATCCAATACGGTGTGCAGATCAAAGGAGACTTCTTCTACCAAGCTCTGTGTCCAACTGTGTTTCTGAGGTCACACGTGTCCCCTCACGGACACCTGATCAGATACTTCGGTAGTCTGAGCCGCGGGCTACAAAGGCAGCAGCTTCCCATTCCACAGTGAAGAATGAAATTGTTCCAAAAAAACCAAATATCACCATGACCAGGAGTTGCCAGTGAAGGAGAAGGTAGTTGCTGTAGAAAAATGCCACGGCTGCACAAATAGACTAAGAACAAACAAAACGAATCACAATGGGCACACCGTGGGGGCTGCAGGGCTCCACAATTAGCCCCTAACCCCACTAACATCTGGCCCCAAGGACAGCTGGAACTGGCTGTGCTCTCTATTCTTTCTGCGTCTGGGTATGACTTCCTCAGTCACTGACTCACAAACCTACACCATCAACTCCTGCTACACTCCCTGGTATTTAAAACGGCATTTCGGCCAGGTGTGGTGGCTCATGCCCCCAACACTTTGGGAGGCCAAGGTGGGATAAATGCTTGAGCGCAGGAGTTCAAGACCAGCCTGTACAACATAGTGAGCCCCCATGTCTACAAAATAAAATGAAATGAAACAAAAATAGCATTTTGTGGGAAACTGGAGCAACAGGAATGTACAGAGTAAGAAATACACTTGTCTGTATGATGAATGAATAGAATTCTGGTATCTAAGGAAGGAAATCTCTAATCAGAGCCACGGAGACCAGAATGTAAAGTCTCCTATACAGAAAATGATACTGCTCATTGCGTCCTAATTCTATTCACAAATCCTTTTAAAGGATGTCCCCAACTTTCATTTAAAAAACACAATACAAGACCAAAAAAAAAAAAAAGAAGAAGAAACAAAAAAATAAAATAAAATAAGAAACAAAATATAGCCGGGCACGGTGGCTCATGTCTATAATCCCTGCACTTTGTGGGGCCAAAGCGAGTGGATTGCTTGAAGCCAGTAGTTCGCGACCAGCCTGACCAACATGGCAAAAAACCTCATCTCTACTAAAAATATAAAAACTTAGCTGAACGTGGTAGCATATGCCTGTAATCCCAGCTACTCGGGAGTCTGAGGCATGAGAATCGCTTGAACCCAAGAGGCATAGGTTGCAGTGAGCATTGTGCCACTGCACTCCAGCCTGGGCTACAGGGTGAGACTTTGTCTTGGAAAAAAAAAAAAAATAGGCCAGGTGCAGTGGCTCATGCCTATAATCCTAGTGCTCTGGGAGGCCAAGGCAGGTGGATCACCTGAGGTCAGGAGTTCAAGACCAGCCTGGCCAACATGGTCAAACTCTGTCTCTGCTAAAAAACAAACAAAAAAACAAAAATTAGCCGGGGTTGGTGGTGTGTGCCTGTAATCTCAGCTACTCAGGAGGCTAGGGCAGGACAGTTGCTTGAACCCTTGAACCCGGGAGGGAGAGATTGCAAGCCAAGATTACGCCACTGCACTCCAGCCTGAGTGACAGAGCGAGGCTCAAAAAATAAATAACTAAATAAATAAAAAGTAAAACCACAATACAAGTAACCAAGGAAAAAAAGGTAATACACAAAGGAAAGAACCCTAAGCCAAACACAATCTGAAGAGGTTACCTGAACAAACTTGAAGATGGCAAATGCTGGGGCGCTATCTTCAGAATACAGAAAGCCCAAGATACTAAGCAGCTGGGTATTAAAGCAGCTGTCTCCAAGGCCCAACAGGAAACTGCACAGAATGGCAACTTCTTTGCTGAAGAAAATAAAAATGAATTTAGTATGTGTAATATTTGCTAGAGCTGACACAGCCAAGACAGAACTCTGGATCTCCTTTCCCAGCCCCAGGCTGCCCCTCTTCCAGTCTAATCACGTCTGTAATCCCAGCACTTTGGGAGGCCGAGGTGGGTGGATCACTTGAGGCCAGAAGTTCGAGACCAGCCTGGTCAACACAGCAAAACCCCATCTCTACTAAAAATACAAAAATTAGATGGGTATGGTGGCAGGCACCTGTAATCCCAGCTACTTGGGAGGCTGAGGGAGGAGAATCAGTTGAACCCGGGAGGCAGAGGTTGCAGTGAGTCAAGACTATGCCACTGCACTCCAGCCTAGGAAACAGAGCGAGACTCCTGAAATAAATAAATAAATAAATAATAACTACGTAAGTAAGACAAAGCTGGCACAGTGGCTCATGCCTGTAATCTCAGCACTTTGGGAGGCCAAGGTGGGCAGATCACTTGAGGCCAGGAGTTTGAGACCAGCCTGACCAACACGGCAAAACCCCATCTCTACTAAAAATACAAAAATTAGCTGGTGTGGTAGCGCGCACCTGTAATCCCAGCTATTCGGGAGACTGAGGCATAAGAATTGCTTGAATCCGGGAGGCAGAGGTTGCACTGAGCAGAGGTTGTGTCACTCACACTCTAGCCTGGGAGACACAGTGAGACTCTGCCTCAAAATAAATAGATAAATAAAAATAAAAAATAAAGACTAGAATTTACAAAGTAAGAATCTGTGCTCAAATGCACACACCTTTACATTCTCTAACAAACTCTGGCCTCTTAACCATTTATGAAGAAAACACAGGTTGAGTATCCCTTATCCAAAATGCTTGAGATTAGAAGTGTTTCCAATTTTCTTTTCAGATTTTGGAATCTCTGCATTACACTAAGCAGTTAGGAGTTCCTAATCTGAAAATCTGTCATCTGAACTATTCTAAGAAGCACTTCCCTTTGAGCATCATGGTGGCCCTCAAAAAGTTTCCGAATAGGCCGGGCGCGGTGGCTCACGCCTGTAATCCCAGCACTTTGGGAGGCCAAGGTGGGTGGATCACGAGGTCAAGAGATCGAGACCATTCTGGTCAACATGGTGAAACCCTGTGTCTACTAAAAATACAAAAATTAGCTGGGCATGGTGGTGCGTGCCTGTAGTAGCAGCTACTCGGGAGGCTTAGGCAGGAGAATTGCCTGAACCCAGGAGGCAGAGGTTGCAGTGAGCCGAGATCGCACCATTGCACTCCAGCCTGGGTAACAAGAGCAAAACTCCATCTCAAAAAAAAAAAAAAAAAGTTTCCAATTTTGGAGCATTTTGGATTTCAGGTTTTCAGATGAGATATACTCAGTGTGTACCCTTGGATTTGTGGAGCTGGACATAAATGTCTGCATCTATAATGAATTTGAGAGTTGAGTGCACTAAACCAGTATTTGAAATGTGATCTAAACGGCTCTGGAAGGACTGAACGGCCTCGCCAGCTGCCAGGTTCTCCATTGCTCCTCTTTGTTCTTCCTTCAGGCCCTGACGTCTGGATATTTCGCTGCTCAAGAAGCAAAGATTTGCTGGGTGTGGTGGGTCACGCCTATAATCCCAGCACTTTGGGAGGCTGAGGCAGGTGGATCACAAGGTCAAGAGATGGAGACCATCCCAGCCAACATGGTGAAACCTCATCTCTACTAAAAATACAAAAAATTAGCCAGGCATGGTGGCACATGCCTGTAATCCCAGCTACTTTGGTGGCTGAGGCAGGAGAATCGCTTGAACCCAGGAGGCGGAGGTTGCAGTGAGTTGAGATTACGCCATTGCATGCCAGCCTGGGCAACAGTTGCAAAACTCCGTCTCAATAAAAAAAAAAAGAAGATAAAAAGTTCAAATCAGATCTTATGTGCTCCTTCAAGGATCAAGAAAAAGATTTACCGGGGGAAAAGGTTAAAACCAACTATTACAAAAATAACTTAGGATTCTCTAAGGATTCCTATTTAACTCAGTCTGACTCCATTAACACTTGACAGATGACCTTAGAGAGACGCCACACTCTCTGAAGAGGATTAACTGTTCCACTTTCAATATCTAGCCATCCGTTACCTCCTACCCGTCCTCAAGTGACTAGAGAAATGACAGCCACCATACCTGGATTTGATGTACGCACTGCTGTCAGTTCCTTCAACGGGAGCAATGGGGGCATCTCCAGGCATGTTAAGAAATATTAGATAAAAAGCTATAAAGTGCACCAGGATGCCCAGCAGCACAACCGGATTTCTACCAAAACGATTGTTCTTGCTCAGCAGGCCGAAGAGGCTTCCACCTATAAGTCAAGATGGCAGAAATGTCACTAACTTGCCAAAACATTAAATACCCAGTCCTGAGTTATCACCAAGGAGGCAAGGAATAAACATTCTCACTTGTCAAATTTCTTCAAAAAATCCAACACCTCAGCACTTACAGACAATGACAATGATGACCAAACATCAATTATTATAACAAAAAGTAAGGGATTAAAACTACTTGCATTTCTATCCAGGAACATTCTTGCATTTCTTCTCTGTGACTTACTGTATCCCCCAAGCTATCCCCTTTGACCGTAGCTTGTAACAGAAATAAAATAAAAACACAACTTATCATTACTACCAAGTTTTTGTTGTAATCATAGCCTAACAAGCCAAGATACCACACCGAAAGGCAGTCATTATGGATTTTGAGAATGATGTGTGAGCTCCGAAGAGGAGTCAGAGAGGCCTAGGAAGGCTCAGCAGTCAGAACAGCTCAGAATGTCTCAAGAGCTGAGAGGCGAATCCTCAACAGCAGGAAGGAAAGAACTTTGTAACTGAAAGGAAGAAGACCATGGGGTATGAGCTTTATGATTTTTTTTTTTTTTTGAGACAGAGTTTTGCTCTGTCACCAGGCAGGAGTATAGTGGCTCAATCTCAGCTCACTGCAACCTCTGCCTCCCAGGTTCAAGCAATTCTCCTGCCTCAGCCTCCCGAGTAGCTGGGACTAGAGGCGTGTGCCACCATGCCCAGCTATTTTTTGTATTTTTAGTAGAGATGGGGTTTCACCATGTTGGCCAGGATGGTCTCGATCTCTTGACCTGGTGATCCACCCGCCTCGGCCTCCCAAAGTGCTGGGATTACAGGCATGAGCCACCGCGCCTGGCTGACCTTTACACTTTTTAAGTGATTTCTACCCCAGAAATCTATATGAGCAAACCTATACATCAACAAGTGAAGGATGGCTAGGTGCAGTTTCTCATGCCTGTAATCGCAGCACTTTGGGAGGCTGGGGTGAGAGAACTGCTTGAGGCCAGGAGTTCCAAACCAGCCTCAGCAACATAACATGACCCTGTCTCTATTTTTCAAAAAAGAAAATAAATTGTATATCTATATTTAAAAGTGGGCCGGGTGTGATGGCTCATACCTGTAATCCCAGCCTTGAGGGCTGGAACTTCCAAGCCCCTTTCACTCCCACTTCAGGGAGGGGAGGCTGGAGATTAAATCAATCACCAATGGCTAATGATTGCTTTTTGTTGTGGTGGTTAGAGACAGGATCTCCCTATGTTGTCCAGGCTGGTCTCAAACTCCTGGGCTCAAGTGACCCTCCTACCTCGGCCTCCCAAAGTGAGTAAGCCACTGTGCCCAGCTAAGTGGCCAATGATTTAATCAATCATGCCTATGTAAGAGATCTCCATAAAACCCCTAAACAGGGTTTGCAGAGCTTCTGGAGTGGTGAACCCCAAATCCATGGAGACAGAGACTCCTGCACTTAGGGACCCTTTCAGACTCCAGCTGTTGTACCTCCTCATTTGACTGCTCATCTGTATCCTCTATAATAAACTCTAATAGTCAGGAGAGCACTTTCCTGAGTTCTGTGAGTTGTTCTAGCAAATTATCAAACCTGAAGGGGGAAGGGGCTGTGGGAATCTCCAAATTTGTACCCAAGTCAGAGAGAAGTGCCTGAGAGGCCTATGGACCCACAACCGTCTGTCTGTAGGACTGAACCCTTAAACTTGTGGAATCTGACACTAACGCTGGATAGCTAAGTGCTAGAACAGGACTGAGCTGTTGGACACCCAGCTGGTGTCAGGGAATCAGAGAAAGAGAGTCAGGAATTTCAAGACATTCTAAGTATTTTAAGAGGAAAAGTAGGGAGACACCATGTTTTCTTATGCAGGGTTTCCATCTGTGAATTATTTTGCAAATGTTTTATAACTTAGTTGTATTAGAATAGCAATAATACAAAAATGGTTTAAACATACGTGTTTGGGTACAAATAAGCAGAAAAATCAAATTAGGCCAGGTGCAGTGGCTCACGCCTATAATCCCAGCACTTTGGGAGGCCGAGGTGGGTAGATCACAGGGTCAGGAGATTGAGACCATCCTGGCTAACATGGTGAAACCCTGTCTCTACTAAAAATATGAAATACTAGCTGGGCGTGGTGGTACGTGCCTGTAGTCTCAGCTACTTGAAAGGCTGAGGCAGGAGAATCACTTGAATCCAGGAAGTGGAGGTTGCTGTGAGCCGAAATCAAGCCACTGCACTCCAGCCTGGACAACAGAGTGAGTCTGTCTCAAAAAAACAAAAACAAACAAACAAACAAAAAAACCCAGAAATTCAAGGACAAAGAGTTGGAGTACACTTAAAATTTCTGTTTTAACTATAATGAACTGGTATTTTTAATGCAAATTTTTTTTTAAACCAACCTAAAATTTCTCCAATGCCGATGAAAATGCCAGAAAGTCCAATAAGGCTTTTCTCTTCCGCTCCAAATTTATTTATAGCACCAATACAGGTTCCATATACACCAGAAAAGAAAGTTAACTCCAGACCTTTAGTTAAAAAAAAAAAAACAAAAAAAAAACAGATGTAATTTATACATTCACTTTGATCTTCCCATCTAGTAGTATCTGACAAAAGAATGCTTGAGTAGTAAAACACAAAAAACAACCCATAGAGACAGAAATATTAATCCCTAAGCAGAGCATAATTTGATGTGACATAACTGATGAAACAGAATTCACTTCATGTTATGGATTAAATGTTTGTGTCCCCCTAAATTCACATGTTGAAACTCAAATTCCCCAAAACATGATGGTATTTAGAGATGGGACCTTTGAGAAGCAATTAGGTCATGAGGGTGGAACCCTCACAATGTGATTAGTGCCTGTATAAAAAGAGACAGCAGAGAGCTTGCTTCCTGCCCACTCTCTGCCATGGGAGGACACTGCAAGAACGCAGCTGTCTACAACCAGGAACAGCCCACACCAGAAGCTGCACATGCTGACATCTTGCACTTGGACGTCCCAGCCTCCAGAACCATGAGAAACACATGTCTACTGTTTGAGCCACACAGTCTATGGAAATTTGTTATAGCAGCTAAAATTAAGATACCACAAGACAGCATCTGCCATATATTTCAGATAAAAGTATACAACACAAATGAACAGATATCCTTATGCTAAAACCTGTCACTCTCCATGCAGGCAGAGATGGGCAGAGGTGATAATTAACATAACTTTGTAAGAGTGAAGACTAACATGCTCATTAGCTTGTTAGTAGCTTTCCAAGGAAATGGGAACATTCCTTTTTTTTTTGAGAGGGAGTCTTGCTATGTCATCCAGGCTGGAGTGCAGTGGCATGATCTTGGCTCACTGCAACCTCTGTCTCCCAGGTTCAAGCAATTCTGTCTGTCTCAGGCTCCCAAGTAGCTGGGATTACAGGCAGGTACCACCACACCTGGCTAATTTTTGTATTTTTAGTAGAGATGGGGTTTTGCCAGGCTGGTCTCCAACTCCTGACCTCAGGTTATCTGCCTACCTTGGTCTCCCAAAGTCCTGGGATTACAGGCACGAACCACGGTGCCCGGCCCCTACCGGATTATGTTCTTATTGTAATGGAAAGCCAATACATACTATCCAATGTGCCTTAAAAGCCCCACCATGTTTTAATTAAACCCCTTTTTCTAGGTAAAGAAAATTCCTAAGATAAAAAAATTAGAGTAAATCAGTGGGGGACCTTGATTCCCTAATGCTACAAAACCTTAACTGTGAATTTTAAAGATGTTTAATGTTTATTCTATTTCACCTAAAAATATGTTATACCTATGTAGGACACATAAAGGCAAAAGATTAATCAGCAAATTACAGCATTTTTTAAAAGAAAACAAATTTCCTCATCATTCTTGACCTAAGGATACTCCACATGTCAAACCACATGATGATGTGCTTCCATTTCATTAGAAATGATTTCTTTCTTTCTTTTTTCTGAGACAAAGGTCTCACTCCCGTTGCCTAGCCTGGAGTGCAGTGGTGCTATCTCAGCTCATTCCAACCTTGACTTCCTGAGCTCAGATGACTCTCCCACCTTAGCCTCCCAAATGGCAGGGGCTACAGGCATGCACCACCACACTCGGCTAATTTTATGTATTTTTAGTAGAGACAGGGTTTCACCACGCTGCCCAGGCTGGTCTTGAACTCTTGGGCTCAAGCAATTCACCCACCACAGCCTCCCAAAGTGCTGGGATTACAGGCGTGAACTATTAAGGTTACAGATCTCTTCATGGTTATTTTCTGCAGTGCTCTGTGTTGCCCTAAAACCGCTGGTCCCAATGGGCCATGTGTTGTGGTTTTTCTGAACCTTGTGCAGAATCCTTCCACACTGAATTTGGGGGGACCCTGTGATTTGCGGTCACCGACAGAATGCAGCAGAAGTGATGCTGGGCTGGACTGAAGCCTGAGCTTTTTTACTGGACTCAAGTCTGGTAGTCTTTCCTGTTGCCTTTTTTGGAGCCACCAGCCCATTAACTAAGCTGTGTGGCTATCCTGCTGGGTCACAAGGAGATCTTATGGAGGGGGTCGTGCAGATGAAGAGAAGCTCTGAGACTACAGGAAGAGAGAGTTACTCAGCCCGTCATCTGACTCCAGTGAAGGTGGCACATGAAGAAAACTATCTTGGAAGTTCTAGCCCCAGCCACCCTCTAACAGCAGCCACAAGAGACCCCAAGTGATTCCATCAGAAGAACCATCCACCGAGCCCAGTCAATGCACAGAATCATGAGAAATAATAACGTGGCTCTTGTTTTCAACCCCTTATTGTCATTATGCAGCAAGAGAAAACAAGAACAGTAATTCCATTACCTGTATAAGCAGTTGTAATACTAAGAAGGAGCATCTCCTTGGTGACACATAACTTAAAAGACTTTTCTGTAAAGAAAAAAATTTAAGAGGACTTAACTAGATTTTAGCTAATAAAACATTCCTTCAACCAAAACACCCCTTGCCAATAATGCCAGTAAAGGAACACTTTGGAATAGAAGTTTCAGATTAAAATGTTTAAGGCATGAACTAAATTTGCCCTATAAATAAAATGCTTATTTCAAGTGCTTAAATATATTCTATAGTCACATTTTCCTCAGCACATTTTCCAGCTCTTGTGACAAAAACATGAATAGGAGGAAAAAAAATATAATCAAACAAAACAACAAAGTACTTCAAAAGGCATGATTAAACATTAGGCTCTTGAGGGAGTCAAACATCAGCAAAGCTCTGACTTCCCTAAAGAATTATAATGGAGCAGCTTTAAGACTGGACTCAAGATCAGAACCACAGGGCAGCTTTTTGGCCATACAGGAGCTGGGTGCCACTTCCCAAGATTCTGACTCTGTAGCTCTGAGGACTGAAACTTGAGTTGTGCATGTTTGTTTCTAGTCACTTTTTTTTTTTTTTTTTTTTTGAGACGGAGTTTCGCTCTTGTTACCCAGGCTGGAGTGCAATGGCGCGATCTCGGCTCACTGCAACCTCCGCCTCCTGGGTTCAGGCAATTCTCCTGCCTCAGCCTCCTGAGTAGCTGGGATTACAGGCATGTGCCACCATGCCCAGCTAATTTTTTGTATTTTTAGTAGAGACGGGGTTTCACCATGTTGACCAGGATGGTCTCGATCTCTTGACCTCGTGATCCACCCGCCTCGGCCTCCCAAAGTGCTGGGATTACAGGCTTGAGCCACCGCGCCCGGCCTGTTTCTAGTCACTTTAAAGTTTCTTTTTACACTGTTAATTTAGTTGAAATCTGCAATGGATAATGCATTTCTAAAAACTCCACATTTAATTTAACTGACTTGTCTGAAACCATAACTTAAGGACCACTATTCGATTACGCAAAACTAATAGTGGATCCAGATTTTAATTGTGATTTATCTGCTGGCCACAAAACTTACATAAGTCACAAACGCTGTCCTAAATATCTCCATATGTAAGAAAGGATGCTTTTTTTCTCTAATTTCACTGAAATATACTAAGAATAAATATAATAAGGCATTTTTACCAATCATTTTCAAGTATTTCCAGGAAAAAAATATATGACCAATGCAAAGTTTAAAACAATACTTTTAATTTCAAAAAATTGCACTAGCAAACCATCTTCATTTTATTTATTTTTTGAGACGGAGTCTCACTCTGTCACCCAGGCTGGAGTACAGTGGCACGATCTCAGCTCACTGCAGCCTTCGCCTCTCGGGTTCAAGCAATTCTCTTGCCTAAGCCTCCCAAGTAGCTTGGATTATAGGTGTGTACCACCATGCCTGGCTAATTTTTTTGCCCTTTTAGAAGAGACAGGATTTCACCATGTTGGCCAGGCTGGTCCTGAACTCCTGACCTCAGGTGATCCACCCACCTCGGCCTCCCAAAGTGCTAGGATTACCGGCATGATCCACTATGCCCAGCCACATGTTCATTTTAGAATAATCAGAACAGTTACCTAACAAAAAGAAACTCTAAAAGATTATCTAGCATGATACTACTATCATATGCATGTCATTATATATACATATGCATGTCATTATATATTCATACAAACCCATAAAATGTACCACACCAAGAGTGAATCCTAATGTAAACCATGGTCTTTAGGTGACAATGACATGTCAGTGTAGGCTCATTATAACAAATGTGCTCTGGGGGGAAACATGAATAACAGAGGGAAGCTCTGTATGTGTGGTGTAGGGACTATATGAGAGCACTGTATTTTCTGCTCAGTTTTGCTATGAACATAAAAAGGCTCTAAAAAATAAAGTCTATTTTTAAAAACCCATTAATCTATTTGCAGAAATACACTGATCCTAAAATTCTTGGCCAGGCCTGGTGGCTCATGCCTACAATCCCAACAATTTGGGACGCTGAGTTGGGAGAATTGCTTGAGCTCAGGAGTTCAAGACCAACTTGGGCGACATGGCAAAACCGAGTCTCTACAAAAAACTACAAAAATTAGCCAGGCATGGTGGCGCACACCTGTCGTCTCAGCTACTTGGGAGGCTGAGATGGGAAGATCACTTGAGCCCAGGAGGTTGAGGCTATAGTGAGCTGTGATCATGCCACTGCATTCCACCTTGGGCGACAGATCAAGACCCTGTCTCAAAAAAAGAAAAAAGAAAAATGATATGGAAATTCAAGGGACCCACAATAGCCAAAATAATCTTGAGAAGTAACAAAGTTGGTGGATTCATACTTTCCGATTTCAAAACAGACAGTAATCAACACAGCATGGTAATGGCATTAGGATATATCCGTCTATCTGGAGATAAACATTTATATTTACAGTCAACCAGCTTTTTTATAAAGGTGACAACACGATTCAATGTAGAAAAAACACCTTTCTGGAAATGGCACTACTACAGGATATTCACATGCAAAAGAATAAAGCTGGAATCCTATCTCAAACTATAGGCAAAAATTCACTCAAAATGAATCACAGACCTAAATGTAAGAGCTAAAACTAAAAAAAAAAAAAAAAAAAAAAAAAAAGTCGTAGAAGAAAATATAGGAGTAAATTTTCAGGAGCTGGGGTGAAGCAAAAATCTCAGGATATCAAAAGCACACACAATGAAAAAAAAAAACAAAACGAAATAAACTGACGACATCGAAATTAAAAACTTTATCAAAGCCACAGTAAGATATCCCCTCACACCTGTTAGGATGGCTATTGTCATAAAGACAAAAGATAACAAGTGTTGGTGGGGATGTGGAGAAAAGAGAACCCTTGTACGTTATTGATGAGAATGTAAGTTGGTACAGCAAATACATAAAACAATATGGAGGGGCCTCAAAGAACTGAAAATATGTTACGATCCAGCAAGTCCACTTCTAGGCATATAGCCAAGGAAATGAAAGCAGTATCTCAAAGTAACAGCTGCACTCCCATGTCCATTACAGCACTGCTATGTGCGTGTGTATTAATCATATAGCAAAGACATGGAAACAACAAAGTGTCCTTTGACAGATGAATGAAGAAAATGTGGAATATACAATGGTATATTATTCAGCCTTATAAAAGAAAATCCTGCCATTTGGGGCAACACGGATGAACCTGGAAGGCACTACACTAAGTGAAATAAGCCAGACACAGAAAGACAAATACTGCATGATCTTACTTATATGTGGAATATTAAAAAGTCAAACTCATAGAAGCAGAGAGTAGCATAGTGGCTGCTGGGGCTGGGGGGTGGGGAAATAGAGAGATGCTGGTTAGGGAGTACAAAGTTTCTGTTAGGCAGGATGAGTGAGTTCTGGGGATCTAATGTATAAGTTGGTATTGATAGTTAATAACACTATATTGTATACTTGAAATTTGGTTGGAAAGTAGACCTTAAACGTTCTCATTACACACATAACTATGTAAGGCGATGAATACGTTAACTAGCTTGAGTGTGGCCATCATTTCACAGTGTATACATATACCAAAACACAGGGCTGGGCACCAGGGCTCATGCCTGTAAATCCCAGAACTTGGGGAGGCAGGTGTATTGCTTGAGGGCTGGAGTTCAAGACTAGCCTGGCCAACATGGTAAAATCCCATCTCTACTGAAAACACACACAAAAAAAATTTCCTGGACACTGTGTAAATAAAAATTAAAAGAAAAAAATACAAAAAAATTAGCTTGGCGTGGTGCTAAATCCCTGTAATCCCAGCTACTCGGGAAGCTGAGGCACCAGAATCACTTGAACCCAAGAGGCGGAGGTTGCAGTGAGCTGAGATTGTGCCACTCCACTCCAGCCTGGGTGATAGAACAAGATTCTGTCAAAAACAAAACAAAACAAAACAAAAAAAAACCCCAAAACAAAACAAAAAACACGTTGTACATCATAAATATATGCCTATTTTGTCAGTTATACCTCGATAAAGTTGCGGAATTCCTTTTTTAAGTTTTGTGCTTCAAAAGATACGATCAAGAAACTGAAAAGTCAGGCCAGGTGCGGTGGCCCATGCCTGTGTAATCCTAGCACTTTGGGAGGCTAAGGTGGGTGGATTGCCTGAGCTCAGGAGTTCAAGACCAGCCTGGGCAATACGGTGAAACCAAAACTAAAATACAAAAAACTCAGCCAGGTGTGGCGACATGTGCCTGTAGTCCCAGCTACTTGGGAGGCCGAGGCAGAACTGTTTGAACCCAGGAGGTGAAGGTTGCAGTGAGCCAAGATCATGGCACTGTACTCCAGCCTGGGTGACAGAGTGAGACTCCATCTCCAAGAAAAAAAAGGAAAGAAGAAAGAAAAGGAAGAAGGAAAGAGAGAAAGAGAAAGAGAGAGAGAGAGAGAGAGAGCTAGAGAGAGAGAGAGAAGAAAGAAAAGATAGAAAGAAAGAAAGAAAATGAAAAGTCAATCTATAGAACAGGTGAAAACACTTGTTTTCCTAGAGTGCTTGCTGAAACAAAATGGGAGAAAATATTTGTAAATCATATATATGGAACTTTTATCTAGAATATACAATAAATTCTTACAACTCATTAATAAAAACTGAATCCAATTTAAAATTTAAAAATGGGCAAAGGATGTAACTAGGGCTGGACACGGTGACTCACACCTGTAATCCTAACACTTTGGGAGGCCGAGGCAAGTGGATCACTTGAGATCAGGAAAACAAACAAACAAACAAAAATGTATATAAATATACCACAATGAGACACCATTTCACACCCACTAGGATGGCTATAACCAAAAAAAAAAAAAAAAACCCACAAAAAAACCACCACCAGAAAATAACTGCAAGCACATGGAAACACCGGCGCTCTCATCCCCTGCTAGTAGGAATGTAAAGTGGTGCAAAAATCTGGCAGTTCCCCGACAGCCTAAGCAGTGAGATCCCACGTGACCCAGCAATTCCACCATTCCTAGGTGTGTATCTAAGAGATATGAAAACATATCCACACAGAAACTTT